CAAAAAAAAAAAAAAAATTACCAAGGGAAGATCTAAGGCTAGCCATACATACAAATCCATCAAACAGACAGATTGATGAGCACTAAAGAAAGTGTGCTGAGATAAAAAACAAGAAGAAAAACAAGAATAGAATTCAGATTTGATGAGCACTAAAGAAAGTGTCCTGAGATCAAAACAAGAAGAAAAACAAGAATAGAATTCTAGCATTTGGCAGTGACAAAGGCATCTGAATCTAATAAACTTGAAGTCTATTCCCAGCAGCAACTAAAACAAGAAGCTGCTAAAAACCAGGTAGAAAAGATCAATCCGCCACAAACCCACAGAACCTAGCCAATAACTTAGAGCCATGTCTACGATTGAAAATTCAGTTCTCCAAGAGTTTTGAAAGGTTTCTTGCCTTTCAAAGGCACCACAAAGAAGTGAGTTGGATTCGAGCTTTAGAATTGGCAAACTTGTTAAGGGAGCAAATTTTAGACAACCATCTTTTGAAGCTACTACCTGAATCAAGCTCCAATCCATCCCACTTGAGTGGAGAGAGCATCTAGACTCTTTTGGTCTAGGACAATGAGATAATAAGTGCTCTAGTGTTTCAGGAGCCTCTCTACAAGTTTTGCAATTTTTTTCAGTCCTTTCTTGATAAGGTTGCAGTTGAGTGGTGTAATGTTGGCAATACATTCCAAGAAGTGCTTGATTTTTCATTTGATCTTGAAACCCCAACTTCTTTTCCAAATCTTTTTGTTTCCTTATGCTCCTTGTTATTCTCACCCAAATCCACTAAACCCCATTTTTTACCCACCAATTTGGCATAAACAGGGAAGTTCCCCCTATTTCCACAACCCCAGGCCAATCTATCATCCCCATTTAGATCAAGCTCGTCAATATTAAGTATGACTTCTGTTGTATCACAAATACTTGAACCGTTGAACCGCTCCTCTCTGAACCGGCGTCTCCTTGATCATCGGTACCTGCAAAACACGCCGAGGGTGGTCCCGGCGCGAACACTCCGACGCTCAAGTCAGTGGTGGTCCCAAAAGAAACCGACAGAGTAACGAGAGAATTTGTATGTGTGTTTTGTGTAAAAAGAATGAACCTGCTCATTTTATAGGAGAAGTTTGAAGACTCCTCATGAGACAAGAAGTCTTTTTGATGTTTATCTCTATCGTCTCTAGAATCCTTATTGCTATCAACTTCTTCGTAACTTGATCACAAAACCACTCTCAAGTTTCCTCGACAAAACCCTCCGTCCGAGCTGTCTTGATGCCGAGGTGGTCCCCCTGGTGGAACCCTCTGGTCGGGCTACCTAAGTGCCGAGGTGATCCCCCTTGAGGGTACCCTTAGTGGTACCCTTGGTGGTACCCTTGATGGTACTCTTAGTGGTACCCTTGGTAGTACCTGTAATGGTACCCTCTGACTGAAGTACCCAGCTGCCTACTTGCCGAGGTGCCTAACTGGTCCTCTCCATACGACAGTGACGACCGGATCACAATCGATCCTTCATGAACCACTACTGACGACCACATCATCTAGCCCCCCCATTCTTTGGACAAGTTGAGCTTGTTGTAAGCAATGGAAAATTACACGCATCGTAGTAACCATTGCGCTTACCTCACCCAAACATTCTCGTCACCACTTGAGCTTGCGTGCAAAACACCGTGTACCTCACCCAGCAGTTTAAACCGATATGAGAATGCCGAACACCATTTTGGAGATGCCGACCACCAGGACATAACGACCACCAGGACTTGTGTCGACCACCAGGACGTGCGCCAACCACCGAGACGTGTGCCGTGCCGACCACCCAGGTATGCCGACCACCCGGGTATGCCGACCACCTGGGTATGCCGACCACCTGGGTATACCGACCACCGGGACGTGCCGACCATCTGGGTATGCCGACCACTCGGGTATGCCGAGCAATCCTTAGTGCCGACACTCCATGCGCCAACCTGCCGAGCACCGCACCAGGTCGACCCGCGCCGAGCACTTCTCATTGCCGACTACTCCATGCGCCAACCTGCCGAGCACCGCACCACGCCGACCCGAGCCAAGCACTCCTCAATGCTGACCACTCCATGCGCTGACCTGAAGAAAGAAAAACTAGGAATCTCGTCGATCTTTCAATCTCCTTGATCCCTTCATAGTTGATCTTCTTTTTGCTCCCCAATTGCTTCTCTTGTGTGTTCTAGGGCACTTCTCCTTGCGTATTCACGTTCTACCCTTCGAAATAAGGTAAATATGTCTTTTTATATGTCCAAAAGCCTTCTCCTTATCCAAAAAGGCAAGATATAAAAAACAGCCTGCGCACGCGACACGACCATTCTGCCCATGTCACCGTCCGTGTCGCAGTCCGTGTCAGGTCCCTGGGCTTCGAAATCCTTCTGTTGAGGTGACATGGGCATGGTGCCCGTGTCACAAATATGCACTCTATTTTTCACTTGTTTCACTTGTTTCTTCTATTTTTTTTTTCATTCGTGCATCAATCTGTCATCATCCCAAGGGTCTAAGGTACTCACCATACGCCTCCACTAGCCATAAGCTCTATAAATATATGAAATTATCTACAAAAAAAGCATGTGTAATACCTTTCCAACAAGATACAGAATTAAAGCACAATAATGCAATTTATACACCAATAATGCAATGAATAAGCTCTAGATACTCTATAAATATGGTGTAAAATCACACATGAATAAACCCCCAAACTTAAACCATTGATAGTCTCGATCAATGAATCAAACTCCTATCAACACACAAGTAAAAACAATCACTCTCTCAAAGTCAATCATACACATTCTCAATAGGCATCAGGCAAATAACATAACCAAGTTTCGGAATTTTCAAACCTAAAGAATACTTCATCAAAATCATGGTCAATACTTTCAATCCACTAACCTCACCGGATAAGTGTATACTCTCACTCTCCAAAGTATATTTGGAAATAATCGCTCAAGTCAATTCAATGTTAAAAAATTACCATAAGCTTGCAAATCGTCTACTATCCCCACCACTTATTGTGTATGCAATTCATGAATCAAAAAGGACTTTTCATTTGGTGGTAATGTAGGCTCTTTGGTTAGAGTAGGAAAAATATAGGTAAAGTGATGAATACTTGAGCATCTAGAACTATAACACATGAATTAATCAAATTCATCACCTATCGAACATCATCAAACCCAACAAAATCAATCCATACCTCATTTCAATCAACTCTCAAGCTATATAAGAAACCCCAAAATCCAACTACCGCCTTCATTTGAATCAATGCTAAAATATAATCAACTACACATACTCTTCTTTTTTCTTTTCTTTTTTTCTTCATCTTTTTTTTTTCCTTTTTTTTTCTTTTTTTTTTTTCCGACTCTTTCAACCTTATTCACTTACACCATCAAATTCCCCCGTTCACGTCTTCCCTTTATCCACACCACAACAAAACACTCATCCTACTCACATCATATAATCCTAAATGCTCAAGTAGAGGAAAAGAGAAAATATAGATATAGCTCAATATGTGGCATTCAAGAAAATAGACAAAAGCTCAAAAGGGTTAACTAGGAAATATAACTATCATTTGGTAAGCTAAAAGGTCAAAAAAAGCTCAAACACAAATATGCCTTAGATCTTTTTTTTTTTTTTTCAAACGATAGAAATCTCATTAATGGACCAAAATAATTACATTGAGTTCGGAATAACAAGAACCAAGAACAACAAAAACACACCAAACTACGAAAAAACACCAAACTCAAAGAAAAGCCGGGAAATGAGAGGAGCACACAACACGGTGTCCTAAAGCCCAACTGATCCAACCATGGAGTAAGGCAGTCATATGACTGGGACCTTAACTCCAAAGACAACCCCCAAGGAAAACAGAAGATAACAACAAACAAGGAAACAAAAAAATAAAGCAAACTGAGAAAAAGCACATACCATGTGGTCTTGATAAAGATACCAAAACAAGTTCTAGAATTCAATCAACAATGAATGATACACTCAACAAATAAAAGGCTCGAAAACCCACGAAGGATCATATATTCATGAATTAAAAGCATCAAGCACTCATTCAAGTTCACAATTCCATCAATTCTCAAATCCCATCACATAGCATATTATGCCCGAATTCTATATCAAGTATGCACAAGAAACTCATCAAGGTGAATCAAAGTCAATCAACTACGACTACTCAAATCCTAAGAAAGCAATAAACGTGCTAAAGGGATAAAACCTAACATGAAACTAAATGATATGCAAGATAATGCAAGGTATTTTGTTATCTTCTCTCCAAATTTCTTATATCAAAATATCACATCTCCTCAAC